CCGCCCCCCCGGAGCCAGGGCATCCCAGAGCCCCAGGGGGCCAAAACGTATCTGCCGCAGACGACACCCAAGGGCAATCATTGTGCCTGCCCAAGCCCCTTGGTCCTACCCACAGGCAGGCAGGGCCAAAAGTCCCTTCTGATGTCCCTGCTGGGGACAACAGCTCCAGGGCCCCTGGGACTCACCACCATGCGGTTGATGGAGACCCAGCAGTCCTCGGGGAAGTCTTGCAGCATGGGCACCAGAAACTGGAGGCAGCCGTCCCAGTGGCACAGCAGCAGCATCATGCCGATGAGGTTGAAGATCCTCACCACCGCGCTGGCCAGGTCGTATGTCATATGGAAGATCTGGGGACAAGGCAGGAGCAGAGCTACAGAGAGCACCTCGCATGGCAGCAGTGGGAGGAGAGGGGCTGAAAAAGTCTTCTTCCCCACTAAAGCCCTCCGAGATTCCCCTGCTCCAGCCAGCTGCATCGCACAGCTGGGGATCCCTGGCTCCCTCTAGACCCTGAGCAGTGGCCTTAGATCCCTGGAGAGCCTCCAGATCTTTCCTGAGCGCCTCACCTCCTCCCACTGGTGGATGTAACGGATGAGGCGTGAGAGGCGCAGCAAGCGCAGCAGGCTGAGGATCTTGGTGAAGCGGACAATGCGCAAGGCTCGGGCTGTCTTGTAGACATCTGAGTCCACCTGGGTCTCCAGGTCAACAATGAGGAAGATATAGTCAACGGGGATGGAGGAGATGAAGTCGACCAGGAACCAGCTCTTCAGGTACTTCATTTTGATGGTGTGAGGGTCAAGGATGATTTCCGTGTTGTCCTCCACCACGATGCCGGTCCGGAAGTTCAGCACCAGGTCAGCCAGGAAGAAAGTGTCTGAAAGCACGTTGAAAACGATCCAGGGAGGGGTGTTCTCATCCTTGAAGAAGGTGATGCCCACAGGCAGGATGATCAAATTCCCCACCATGAGGAGCAGCATGATGAGGTCCCAGTAAAACCTGCCAGGGAGGGACCAGGCAGGGAGCAGGGCCAGGAGAAGCAGGGAGAGAAAGGAAACAGCCAGTTAGAAAGCGAACCCCGGACCAAAGTTTGAGACCCACACGCTTCCAGGAGACACGCGCCCACACAGACACGACCAGGACCCTCGTGCTTGGCTTGGGAGACAAGCAGCACGTGCGTGCAAAGAGGAGCTACTCTGCACTGGATCCACGGCACATCTGGAGCAGGGGACAGGGGTCCGCGGGAGCACCGTCACCCCGCGGGCAGGGGAACCTGTCGCTTAAGGAGCTCTCGGGGATGGGACGAGGAGCTCGGCTATCA